TGTGTGTGTGTGTAAAATAATAACATATTATTTAATTACGATCGGTTGCCAAACCTCAGATGTAAAGATGTGTTCTCTCAAGTAATCAAGAGCCAGATGGGTGTTGGTGCCGGCACTGTACTTAGCGATGTTCCTGATCCCTTGCTGGGCAGCAGATGTACTGTTGTACTGCTGGAAGTTGAAATGTTCCTGGCGGGACAAGAGTTCGAGTGTTTTGGGGTGCAGTCGTAAAAAAAGAAAAGAAAAACCACCTCATTTTGAACAGCTTGGCCTAAGGCAAAATCATCTGGGATCACAATTGATCACTGTTATACAATAAGTTATAGGAACAGGAAACAAAAGAAGAGAGAAAAAATGTTTCTTTTAATTGAAACAAGGCAGTAGGAAAAATAATATAATATATAGAAATAACACCTCAAAATCCCCAAAAGAAATTAACCCCCTCCCCCAAACAAACGAACGAATGACAACAACAACAACAAAACAACAACAAACAAACTTGCTGACAAAATGTAGACACAGAACTTACTATTTATAAGGTCTGAGAAGGGTATTTTTTTGTTTAGGGAATGTTTAAATTTTGAATTTACTATTGCTTTACTGTTTCTTTGTTTTGTCTGCTTGATCTCAGGAGTGGTCGGCTTCTGGTTGTTCAACCTAGAGGGCAAATGCTTTTTACGTGTGTGACCGTTTTTCTTGCTCAGTAAGTCCTCGAATCGCCTTCAAGCCAGGCAGGCGCATTCCAATTTCGAAGGTACTCCACACGTTTCTATACTGACTAGAGTATTTTTATATTTGGTAGAAACAGATTTTGATTTCTTCTCAGTAATAAATTTTATTTAGATGCCACCGATGTCAAGCCTGTAGTGTGTTCGATTGGGCTTTGTTTACTTCTGCCCTATACCACGAGCAATAAGAAACGTTTAAAACAATACGAAAGTCTTGTGAAAATATGATGGCAGCAGATTCTTAGAAATACAAAATAAACAAACAAAGAAACAAAAACAAAGAGACAAAACCCACAGGTCCAGTTTACACATCATTTTGTTGTTGTTGCTTTTGTTTGTTTTGTTGTTGTTGGGGTTTTTTTTGGGAGGGGGGCTTTTCTAAAAATGTTTTTTGTGGGGGGTTTTGTTTGCTTGTTGTCGGGGTTTTTTCGAGCTTATAGTAGTTTTTAATACAGAGTTTATTCTTTATAACGCAAAATCACTTTGCCGGCACTCACCTTGACCTGTCGGCTGAACGAGATGGCTGCCACATGCACAGAGTTGAAGCCCACTTTGAATCCGTCCATGATGTTCGCCGAAAACGTTTTAGATTTGATGAAGTCCGGGATAGAGAGGCTGGCAGACGAGTCGAGGACAAACGCCATGTCCAGGTTGCGAGACTCACATTCTGAGGATTTAGGTCAAAGTAAAAGTAAAGTATACAGACTTCACCATAAGTTGAGGACCACCCTTACAGACAGCTCTGATTTTTTTTTTAAATCAGAAAAAAAAGACATCAAGGAATGTACCTAAATTTTGTCCTCTGAAAGTGTTAAAGGGTTACCAGTGCGTACTGCAATGCTTCCAAAAGAGGCAAAACCATCACGTGTTGCACAGATATCCTCCGGGAATTTTAGCTAGATTTTCTGTTTTTATCGACTTGTGTGCGAAACCACAGACATTCCTCAGTAAAAATTTCTGGTACACGTCATAAACGGATGTACCGTCTCGAACTGTGCTCACTTTGGTGGCAACATTATAAGCCGCCGTTTGCGCAAAATCCAGTATCACATCAACATGCCACCGAGACAAAAGCTGAGAGGCTTTGACAGTGCCAGAGCTATGGCATGGCTGCAGGGTGGAGTTGGAGCCCGAGAAGTTGCCAGAAGGCTTTCAGTGTTACACTCTGTCATTGTCCGCCAGAAGCAGCGCCATCAAGCCACTGGAGCAGTCCAAGAACGCCCACTTAGAGTGTTTGCAAGGGGTCCTTAACTTATGTTGAAATCTGTAGCTCTCGCCCCTTCCAAACGTCAAATCTTACTTAGTCACTGTCCCGTACACGAGTGCCAAAATAGCAAGTAAAGTCTCTCCACCACCCCGTTTTCCAATCAAGAGAAAGAAAAAAAGAATCTTGCTAGGGACAAACGCTTTTCCTATATTATTGCTACACTCAAATTTCATGAACATAGGTCAAGTAAATGTAGAAATATAGACCCCCCTCCCTTACCCCCCCCCAAAAAAAAACCCAACATTTTTTTTAA